TCACAGTGAAGAAGAATACAACAACGAGCAGGAGAGGGAGAGTGAGGATGAGTTTAAGTCATTCGTGAAGAAGGAAGTCATGGATCCTACCTTAAATGACGACTTCCTTATGCTGGCGCTTGTTTTCTTCCACAGAGCGAGAAATGGAGTTGAAGCCTCCTTGGCAATTCCCAATACAAGAGTGATGGAGCTCCTGAGAGAAGAACAGATGAAAATAGCTAAAGAGAACGTGGAACAAGCGAAACAACTATTGAAAGGTACGTTGTTTGGTTGCCTGACGAGGAGTGATCTTAGCAAAATCGAACAGAAAATGTTGACAAAACTCCAAGAGAAGGAGACCTTTATGTCTATTACCAAAGATGAAATCATGAAGTTGCTCTATGAGGAGCTTGCAGCGCTTTTCGAAGAAAGAATGAAGGAAAAAAAAGAAGAACGTGTAGAGGCAGCTAACTAAAATGAAAGTAGCACTTTATTAGCCGGAACAAAAACCTTATAGGTAACAATAAACGCAGAAAGTATTAGTTAGAGAACTCCGTAGGAAAAAGAGTTGGCGGTTGGACATTTTAGCACAATATTTCAACTTCAACTTCAACTTCAACTTCAACTTTATTTTGCACTTCCAGTTTTGAAATTACAATATTAGCATTAAAAAAAAGAAAAAAAGATACATATATAATATCTTACGAATCAAACACAGCTCAGTAAGGTAGTGGTTATTGATGGCAGTTTTTAAGTTGTTACTTCAGAAGTAACAACTTAAAACAATTGATCTCTTGCTTCAAAACAGTCAGCGACAAACGACTGAATTGCAAAGTCATCTCAATTTTCGAACAAGCCCATTGGACGCAGGGAAAAACAGTTTTGACTTGATTATTGTCCTAAACCAAACAAGATATAGAGTGCAAAGTTTACCATTAAACGTTCTCGACATTTATCTAATTTTTTTTGTTTTCATGTAAGGCTGTTTTACTTGTCTGTTCTGAAAGTTGCCGAGAGAAACCGTTGAGTCCGGAGCAATGCACAATGGCAGGAATGAAAAATGTATCGATGATATTTTGGTGAAACTTTCAAAGGTACTCTAGTGCTAGGAAATCAGCTGAAAAAACGAGCATAAGCCTTACAGCATGCCAAAACGTCGAATCTAAGTTCAACTAAAAAAATATAGTACAGTGTGTGCACGCTTGTAGAAGGTGAGGACAAAGAAGTATAAGTTGATATGAGACATTGTACCTTTGTATGCTTTGTAGCTTTATTGGTTAGTACAAAAGATGATGAAAAATAACAGAGTGAATGCCCCATATAGGCTGGTCATGATCATGTCAGTTGGCCTCATATTTCATGTTGGAAAAATTTCATTACCTCATATTAGCTCTTGGGATAAAGTCGCGTTGCCTAGTTACAGGACAAGATTCTCCTGATTTAAAAAAAAGACGCAAATAAATTCGTCCTTACAGACCATTACGTAGGCTAAATTTACCATGCTATATTAACCCTATTTGGCCTGCACTGTTTATTCGTTTGTAAGACTGGAGGGGAGAGCATGTATCTCCAAAAGTATTCGTTCAATGCCAATCAAACTTATATGGTTTCTAAAGCTTCCTAACTTGTTTACTTTAGTGCTAATCACTTGTCAATCTGCCAATCCGCA